TACATAGATAATACACAGTTCAATGACCCCCCCTCTGACAACATAGTGATAGAACCATGCAGAAAGAACATGTGGAAGTAATTATGACAAAGCGAATGTTTGTATAGTTCAGGCACCTGTACTAGATTGCTATGAAAGCAATTAGCATTCAGAGGTGAACAGGTCATTGCGGTGGGATGGCTTCTCAGATGAACAATGACAGACCACAAGACCATATAATGAATTTGCTGTGGGTCCCAGTCATATATAGTTAAATTTCTGAGCCTGTTATACTCTGTAGCAGTGCTTCTCAACCTGTTATGCCTACACTCTGAGTAGTGTTTCAAACACAAACTCAATGTAGATAAATATTATTTAAAGAGAACCTGTATTCACAGTACTTGAGTGACCTAGAGGCCACCAAGGGAAGGAGCCATTATCTGACCCACAGCAACATTTTTATGCTTAGTCCGAAATAGTATGTGACTTCAGGTTTTAAGGAGAACTCTATGCTTTTGTTAAGATCCTAAAATTGTGGTCCCTTACAAGGCTGATGAAGGATTTACAGGATTTAATGCTTGATTTATCAAGGGGTTGATTGAACAGAGTAGAACTTGCCTCACTCCAATTTTACACCACTGCATCTGACACTTTGCATTGCATTTGGTGATGTTAGGCTTGGATGCAGCTGCTTGGCCATGGAAATCCATTCCATGAAGCTCTCTACACTGTTGTGCTAATCTGAAAGCCACATGAAGTTTGGAGGTCTTTAGCTATTGACTCTGCAGACAGTTGGTGACTTCTGCTCACTGTGCGCTTCAGCATGCGCTGACCCCGCTCTGTCATGTTACGTGGCCTACCACTTGGTGGCTGAGTTGCTGTTGTTCCCAGTAGCTTCCATTTTGTCATAATACCACTAACAGTTGACCGTGGAGTATCTAGTAGCAAGGAAATTTCACGGATGGACTTATTGCACAGGTGGCAACCTATCACAGTACCACGCTTGAATTTACTGCTCCTGAGAACAACCCATTCTTTCACAAATGTTTGTAGAAGCAGTCTGCATGCCTAGGTGCTTGATTTTATACACCTGTGGCCATGGAGATGATTGGAACACCTGAATCCAATGATTTGGAGGGGTGTCCCAATACTTTTGGCAATATAGTGTATTACACATACATATAAGAGTGTGGATTGGTGGGAGCAGCTGGTAATTATTATTTTTCATTATTTTGGTTCAATATTGAGTTTTTGTTATTTAGACCATATTTATGGTTCATAGCAGCTCACAAGATTCACGAATACACTTCTACATCAACATGTACATTGCAACACCAGTGGGGCAGTCACAAGACCAGTCGAGGATTGGCAACAAGAGCAGCTTCATGGGACCGGTGGACACAGGCAACACCTCATTTGCATGACTGGGAAATAAGGTAAGTAATACTTTGTGGTATATTATCCCCATGATAACATGAGCAATAAATCCTTCATCAGCTGTGGTGGTCAAAATTCATAGGATTTAACCACTTGCCTACCGGGCACTTTCACCCCCTTCCGGCCCAGGCCAATTTTCAGTTTTCAGTGCTGTTGCACTCTGAATGACTTTTTGCGCAGTCATGCAACACTGTACCCATATGACATTTTTATCATTTTTTGGAGACATATAGAGCTTGGTGGTATTTAGTCACCATTGTTTTTTTTTTTTTATCTTTTGCTAAACAAACAAAAAAAGATCAAACATTTTGAAAAAAAAAAATGTTTTTCTTAGTTTCTGTTATAAAATTTTGCAAACAGGTAATTTTTCTCCTTCACTGATGTGCGCTGATATGTAGTACTGAAGGGCACTGATATGCAGCATTGATGGGCACTGGTAGGCTGTACTGATGGGTACTGATGAGGCTGCACTGATAGGCAACACTGATAGGCTGCACTGATGGGAACTGACGAGGAGGCACTGATGAGGCTGCACTAATATGCGATACAGATAGGTGGCACTGATGGGCACCGATAGGCGGCACTGAAGGTCACTGATAGGTGGCACTGACTGGTGGCACTGATAGGCACTGACTAGCGGCACTGATGGACACTGGCCATCAGTGCCACCTATCAGTTCCCTTCCAATCGGTTTTCACTTGATTTAGGTCTGAGTCGATCAGCCAGGGCAGAAAATTACCAATCATTTTACATTGATCTGCTACACGGATATACCTCATGATCATATTTCATGAATATGATCATATTTCGATTGATCAGATTAAGAGATTGCATGGTGGAAACACAGATGCAATTGATAATTTACGATTGCAAGTTATGATTGCATCCTAATTCTTGACTGAAATCCACTTCTCTGTATGTGACATATTGGTTGAATGGGTTGTTGACTATGGACCGATTATTCCTATCAGAACAGATCACTCAGAAAAAAAATCGATCATTTATCAAAGTGTGTATGGCCACCATAAAGTAAGCACTAGAGAAATCAGCATTTCAAAGCAAAATGTTTGAAGTCTATTGAAAACATTTGTCTGTAGTTTTGGATTGTGATAGAAGGAAAGGCAAACACTGCTATAGTTCACTGAATCATAGAGTACAGTAGAACTCCCAGACGTCTCCATCTCTTCTCCTCCCTCTTTCCCAGTTACATGTCTTGGTGCTGGGGGGGTTAAAGATTTAGAGGGGGAGCAGGGTGGAGAGGGGCTGGATTCAATTTCCTTTCTGCAGATGTCAGGTACAGACTCACACAGGGTCAGAAGGAGAGGGATAACGACACAAAGAATTTAGGATAAAAGGGACTTTCTCCAGCCCCTTATTTCATAACCCCTCCAGCAGAATACACCGTGCCTGGATACCCTTGAACTTCAGAGTTTTTGTGACTTCTCCAAACTTCTGTGACCTGACTTCTACCTGCTGCAGTCCCAGGAGAGGACTTTCCACACTGACTTTGACTGAGTGGTACCCACACATCTCCTACCCAGTGGGCATCCTTCTTCTTCACCCACCTCCTGGGCATCAAGGGACCACACAAGAGGTTAGTGGAGCATCCTGTCCCTACTGCTGAAGTACTGCTTGTAGCTGTGTTAGGAGCTTGGTGGGTTAGGTTACTTTTGTCTTTTACAGCACTTATCTTTTTTTCGCATCATTTTAGAGAGAACATCAGTCCCTTCACATTAGCCTCTGCCCACGCAGAAGCTTGCAATTTATTTGTCCACCTAAGTCATACATATTAGAGCCAGTTTGGGGGAAGCCAGCTAACGTATGGATGTGTTTTTTGCATTTTGGGAGGACTGACACACAAAGCAGAAAGACAAACCTATACATTCAGTGTATACAGTGTGTTTGTTGGGAAGTGGACCCATGACCCTAGTGCTGTGCACCCATCATTCAACTCACAAAGATTGATAATGATGTGAGAGATAGATTAAACCCATAACCACTATTCGTATTTGTCCTAATCAGGGGTGGACTGATCATTTAGAAACTCGGGCACTGCCTGAGGGCCCGGGGTCAGTAGGGGGCCCCATGAGATGCCCCTGGTACCTTTTTCATAGGCTTTTTTGAATTTGGGCAAGGACACAGGGGCCCCATGATCCCCTATTACCCGGGGGCCCCATGAGTTGTCAGTCCGCTCCTGGTCCTAATAGATAGAAACTCCTAATGCCTTGTGCCATTATCCAACACTTCGACATATATAGGATTTATTTTTTAGACAATGTATTTTTGTTTCATTTTCTTTAGCCTCCATTCACACCTTGAAACTCAAAGCTCCAAAACACTCAACAAGCCAAATCCCATGCTTTTAAACTGTCCCTGTTCACATTTGAGCATTCAGGTACCTGACGCTCGATGCCTGAAGTCCCAAAAAGATACACGAGCTACCTTTAGGCTACATTCACACTTGAGCGTTTTGTAGCTCGAAGCTCCAAAAAAAGCTCAAACTTTAAAAAAATCAAACGATCAGGTGTGAACAGGCACCATAGAGAACAATTGAATTTTTAAGTTTGAGCTATTTTTTTGAGCTTCAAGCTACAAAACAGTCAAGTGCGAATGCAGCCTTAAAAGAGAAGTGCTGGAAAGAAACATATACTCACCTAGATGGTTGCAGCTGTCCCTCGCCTCGATCAAAGACCACTGATTGCTCAATTCTTGGTCATCAGAGAGCAGAGAGCGTTGACTGTCACTGGCTCTCTGTTCTGCTCCTCCATTGCTCACTGGAGTGCTGAGCTGTGGAGGGGGCAAGAGCAGCTGGCTCAGGCTCTCAGCAACATGCTGCCGGTCAGGCATCTGTGTGGATCCTGACATATTTGTCAGGATCCCTGCAGAGCCTGGACCAGCTCTGTGACGTCACATGACAGCTGGCTTCAGATCTAAGTGCACTCTTGTGATCCAAAGGGGAAGTATGACCAAAAGAGCTTAGACCATACATCTCCTTTACAGCAGCATGAGTCATTTTTTTACCTCATTGATCTTGATGGAAACGTGCAAGGAAACATGCAAAAAATGTGTTACATGCATTTTTAGGTGCTCCCTCAATAAAAGTCTATGGGGCCAAAAATGCACAATGCTGCCCCAAAGCAGCTCCTGTACTTCACTCCTAAAAAAGAGCACAAAAAGACTCAAAATTGCCCACATATTCTACACTCAAATATGAATGGGGGTCTAGATAACTATGTAAAAAAAAGGTTAGCTTTATATAAGTAATATTATCGATATTTGTATATGTTTTTTTTTTTACTTGTTTCTATGTAACATATAATATAATTACATATGTACATGGGCTGATCATTACATATGCTTATTGCTTATTACATATGCAGCCTCTGCTTCCTACTTTGCAGTGCTGTACAATGGTTGTGCTTTGGTGTTCCTTCCCACAAGTAATATTATCAATATACGTATATGTTTTTTTTTTTACTTGTTTCTATGTAGAATATAATATAATTACATATGTACATGGGCTGATCAGTACATATACTCATTGCTTATTACATATGCAGCCTCTGCTTCCTACTTTACAGTGCTGTACAATGGTTGTGCTTTGGTGTTCCTTCCAACAAGTAATATTATCAATATTTGTATTTTTTTTTTTTTACTTGTTTCTATGTAACATGTAATATAATTACATATGTACATGGGCTGATCATTACATATGCGTATTGCTTATTACATATGCAGCCTCTGCTTCCTACTTTGCAGTTCTGTACAATGGTTGTGCTTTGGTGTTCCTTCCTACAAGTAATATTATCAATATTTGTATTTTTTTTTTACTTGTTTCTATGTAATATGTAATATAACTACATATGTACATGGGCTGATCATTACATATGCGTATTGCTTATTACATTTGCAGCCTCTGCTTCCTACTTTGCAGTGCTGTACAATGGTTGTGCTTTGGCGTTTCTTCCCACAATGTAAGTCTATGAGTCAGATGACCGGTAATAAAAAAAAACAACGCACTCCCTGTGTACCTGAAATCTTATCTCAACTGAGTCAGAGTGATTTCATTGAGTCATTGAGAGTTCCCTCTGGTGGCTGCTTTAGAACTCCTAAAAAGTTACAAAATTAGATAACAGTGAGCATGTAAAAAAATTCCAGTGAACACTACAGCAATACCTAAAATCATGCACATGCCCGAATACACTATAATGTTCCTTTAATATGCTAAACAGCTCAGATTTCTTCAGTTAGAATACAATAGGCTGAAATCTGATCTGCTCTGGTGTCTACAGATTACTGTACTTTATGTATTGTCATTTTTCCATACACTGCTTTACAGGATACCCTTCCATCATGTCTTGCATGACCTGTAAAATACCATATGTGCCATAGGAAATGTACTTACAGATCACTTTCTGTGTAAGTCAGAAATCTCCATTGATTGAGTTCATACATTCCTCTGGCAGGCAGGGAATGGTTTGTGATCCTGTCTTTGCTGTTATAGAGATCGTATATGTCAACCTGGGTTCACACTGATGCGGTGCAGAATTGGCAGCGGTTTTCCGCACCGCATCACAATCGCACCCAGTCCATGCGAACGGCTATCCGATTCTAGTGCGGACCAAAAAAAGGGTCCTGCACCTTTTTGGTGTGGATGCGGTGCGATTTGTGCCAATCAACCCGCACAGAATTCGCATGTGATTTGCACAGGATTGCGGTGCGGTTCCTGTGCGAATCACATGCGATATGCCTCAAGACACGAGTATGAACCTAGGCACAACGTGACACGATGGATCACAGTTTTCTAAACTAACACCTGTTCGGTTACTGTTTGTACTTTCCTTATTTTTATACACATTATAACATTTATGTTGCAACATTTATACAAACAAGATGTTGGTAACACGCAGTTCCAGGCAAGAGATGAAACCAATCAACAAGCTGATAACTCTATTCTGCGAACCCCACAACTTTGCTAAAGTCCGAACATTCATTCAATGTGACTTTTATGGCTTCATTGAGCCCGGGTTCACATTTATGCGGTGCGGTATATCGCATGTGATTCGCACAAGAACCACACCGCATTCCTGTGCAAATTTGTTCGCACCGAACCCGCAGCAAAAAAGTGCAGGACCCTTTTTTGGGTCAGCACTAGAATTGGATCGCATGGGCATTCACACCTATGCGATCCGATTCTGCACATCACAACAAGTTTTGCGGACTGCTTTCGGAGGGTGTTGTTAACTTAACAGACACATCTGCAGCAGTTTGCATGAAGGGGGTGCAATTCTGATACAGTGCGGAATTCACACTGAAAAAGACGCAAATTCCAAATCAGGGAACAGTCTCATTTCACACTGTTCTGACCTGCAAGTGGCACGACTTACAGTGCGACTTTGACAGGCGACTTCCTGGTGACTTGAGTATCACTGTGATGCGACTTTGAAGCGACTTTCATGGAATGCATGGGCAGGGGCGGACTGGCAACTCATGGGGCCCCCGGGCAATAGGGGATCATGGGGCCCCTGTGTTCTCTCCCACACTCCAACCACACTCAAAAAAGCCTATGTAAGGTACCATGGGCATCTCATGGGGCCCCCTAATGACCCCGGGGCCTCGGGCAGTGCCCAAGCGCCGGAATGGTCAGTCCGCCCCTGTGCATGGGTAATCTTTTTGTAATGCCAGATCCAAATAATTATTATTATTATACAGGATTTATATAGCGCCAACAGTTTGCTCAGCACTTTACAAAATAACGGGAGACAATACAGCAACAATACAGTTCAATACAAGAGGGTTAGGAGAGCCCTGCTCCTTGGAGCTTACAATCTAAGAGATCACATCAATATACATGAGGATCTGATTTGGAAGCGACTTTCATTAAAGTCTATGGGCACAAGCTGCCTTGACGCAGTACCGGAACCTTTTCTAAAGTTGGAGTGACTACAGTAGTGCTAATTTAGACACCTCTCATTGACTAACATGAGATTTCACCTGTCATGTGACTTGGGGTCTTACAAGTCAGATCTCAAGTCGCAGCAGAGCCTTAAACTTGTAGTTGGGGGTAGGGTGGCAAAAATGTGAGGCTGATCCGCTTTTTTCGCCACCTGGCAACCACCTCCCCTTAAACTGCGATAGTTTATATGCTGCAGCCGCAATGCTTTGCAACCGTGGCTAAATTGACCCAACGTAGCAATTGGTGGGCAGCAAGCTAGACATTTAAATCATCCACAGTTTGTCTCGTCCCAGAAGCGAATCGAGCTTCAGAGGCAAGGGAGATTAGATGCATATCTAAATCTAACCCAGATTACCTTCTTTTGAAAATTAAGTAATAAAACACTGTTACCTTTAAAAGATCACTCACCTTTCCCAGTGCCTGTGCCTGTGCCACTAAATGCCGATCCATTCACCAGTTCTTGTCCTCGAAGCTCGCTGGGAACTAGCTGTAGTTTTGATCTCTTGGTACCCCAGCAAGTCTCTCTAGTCCCTCCTGCTGACCTCTGTGATATTACTGCGTCCTTTAGTGACATGAACATCAGGAGGAGGAACCAATGACAGCTGCGGGGGACCTAAATGATCAACACTTCAACTGGTGTTTGATGATTTGGCCGGGTAACAGGGGTTTTATTATTTTCTTTGCAACAGGGTCGCTTTACGCTAAGGCTGGGTTCACACCTGTGCATTTTTTTTAATGCATTTTGCATTTTGTATGAACGCAGAGCATGCCATTTATCATGATTTCTTATGGATCACATTCACATCTAGTTTTGTGCGGGCGTGTTTCTTGGAAAGGGTCAGGGACTTCTTTTCCCGCAGCAGTTTGCATTTTTAGTCCAATAGACTTCAATGGAACCGCCTATAAAACGCAAGTGCTGCGTTTTGCTTGTGTTTTTGATGCATTTTTAATGTGTTTTGCGTTTTTTAACCTGCCCAGCAACAAGTTGGCAAAAAAAAAAAAAATAAAAGTGCAAAAAACAATCAATCAAAAATGCATGTGCAAAAATGTACTGCAAAAAGCACTGCAGAAACGGATCAAATGCAAACTGCACAGGTGTGAACCTAGGCTAAATCCACACAGGTGATTAGGGGCATACAGCAGATTCCTGCGACAAGAATCAGCGGGTCCTTGCAGCAGAGATCACAGGTGTATGTGGACAGTTGCAGCCGCTCAACCTGTACAAAGCAATGACAGTCTGACAGGCAGTGGCATCCCTAGGCAGGTGTGGGGGGTGCGTGCCGCAACGGGTGACACCTATCACATGGGGTGACACTGGACCCGCTCCACGAAAAGGTAAGTTTTAAAGCAAGCCGAAGATCCCCGCAGGATGGATCGGATCTGCGGATTGAGCATAATGGATCGGAGTCTGATCCATTATGTTCCCCAATCTGCAGATCCGATCCATCCTGCGGGGATCGTCGGCTTGCTTTAAAACTTACCTTTTCGTGGAGCTCTTGCAGAGATCAGTTAACCCAATATAGGTTGCAAGCCAATGATTCCCGCAGGATGGATCGGATCTGCGGATTGGGGAGCATAATGGATCGGACTCTGATCCATTATGCTCAATCCGCAGATCCTATCCCTCCTGCGGGGATCGTCGGAGGAATGACACCAAGTGTTACCGCACCAGGTGACACCAACTCTAGGGATGCCCCTGCTGACATGCAGCGTGGCTCTTCACATTTATCCGCACATCCTGCGGTTAGGGACAGATGTCTGACCCTGGACCCAATCTTTCTGTATCCAGGGTCACTAGTTTGCCCCTAACTGCTGAATGTGCAAATTCGTATTATTAGCTGCAGCTCTTGCCAACCTGTCATTGCTGTTCATACACCTGTGTTCCTGCTGATTCTTGCTACAGGAATCCGCTGCATGTGAATGTAGCCTTAAAGTGATACTAAACACACATTGTTTCATTTACATTGGCCTTTCCCTTTCTGTATGTGGATGATGGCTCCATAATTATGGTAATAAAAAAAAATATCGAAGTACCTTTTTCAAAATCTATATACAGATGTCACATGACCCAACTCTTTCCCAGCCTGTCGCTGGATAAACATAAGTAGGAGGAGCATCTAGTCCTCTGCTGCTAGTCACATGTTCAAAATAAAAAAAAAAACAGCCTTTGGGATACATAAAAACAAATAATTAACCGATTTCCGCGACACCCTATAGCAGAAATACTGCTACAGGGTGGCATGGGTGCGTAAAATCACACTATATATAAGTAATTTTGCAGTACCAGGTAGGGGGTGCGCACGTACCACATGTGCGCCCTTCCTGCGCTGCCATTCGCGGCCTTGGCTGTCAATCACCGCATCCCGGCCGGTAATTCCCTGCCGGTACCCAGCAATCTCTGAGTATTACCGACATGGCAGAGGTCTGTATGTAAATAATACAGATCTCTCCTCTGTCAGCTCCTGCATACTGCTTTGTATGGCTCTGCATAGCTGAGTGATACAAGCAGTGTGCTTACATAGCAATGGCACAGCACACAGTTAACCTTTTGATCGGCCCACATGTTAACCCCTTCCTGCCCAGTGCCATTAGTACAGTGTCAGTGCTTTTCATTAGCACTGATCACTGTATTGGTGTCACTGTGGATGTCAGTGACATCAAGTCAGTCCCCCCCAGTGTCAGAATGCCCGGCGCAGTCCCGCTATAAGTCGCTGATTGCCGCCATTACTAGTAAAAAAGAAAGAAAGAAAAATCCCAGTATATATACCGCCATTTGTATACGCTATAAAGTTCACATAAACCAATGAATTTACATGTATTGGGATTTTTTTTTAGCAAAGACATGTAGCAGAATACATTTTGGCCTAAATTTATGACGCAATTTGATTTTTAAATTGTTTTTACTGGACATGTTTAATAGCACAAATTCAAAAATATTGTTGTTTTGTTTTTCTAAATTGTCAGTCTTTTTTTGCTTATGGCTCAAAAAATGCAGAGGTGATCAAATACCACCAAAAGAAAGCTGTATTCATGGGGAAAAAAAGGACATAAATTTCATTTGGGTGCAGCGTTGCATGACCACGCAATTGTCAGTTAAAGTAACGCAGTGCCGTATTGCAAAAAATGGCCTGGTGAGGAAGGGAGCTTAGGAGGGCAAGTGGTTAACTGCTTGCCAACTGCACTATAGCCAAAAGACGGCTACAGTGTGGTTGTCCAGTTGTGGGAGGGCATCCATGGACGTCTTCCAAGAACACACCCCCTGCGCACCACCAGCAGCGCGCATTTGGTAAAAAGGCCAATCACACTGGCCTTTTACCACGTGATCAGCTGTGTCCAATGACAGCAGATCGCAAAATAAATACAGTTTCTGGTTATTGCCAGCACTTTCCTCACACTGACACAGCGTGAGGAAGGAAAGTACTGCCGATAACCGGCAAATGTGACAGAGGAGATCGGCACTGATTATCAGTGCCCTGATTATCAATGCCACCCAGCAGTACTAAGCAATGCTGCCCAGCATTGCTCAGCAGTGTCACCCATCAGTGCCACCCATCAGTGCTGCCCAGCAGTGTCTAGCAGTGCTGCCCGGCAGTGCCGTCTGTCAGTGCCTCCAGTCAGTGCTATCAGTCAGTGCCACCAATCAGTGCCCATCAGTACCACCTATCAGTGCCCATCATTGCTGCATATCAGTGCATCATCAGTGCCTCCTCATCAATGTGCCGGCTCATCAGTGCGGCCTTTCAGTGCCTATCAGTGCTACCTATCAGTGCAGCCTCATCAATGCAGTGAAGGAGAAAAATTACCTGTTTGCAACATTTTATAATAGAAACAAAGAAAACCTTCTTTTTCAAAATTTTTCCTCTTTTTTTCTAGTGCAAAATATAAAACTCCCAGTGGCAATTAAATTCCTCCAAAAAATATATATTCGTGTGAAAAAAGTGATAAAAATTTCATATGGGTATAGTGTTGCATGACTGCACAATTGTTATTCAAAGTGAAAGCTGAAAATTGGCCGGGGCAGGAAGGGGGTAAAAGTGCCCAAATCGAAGTGGTTAATTGAAAAAACCCCCAAGGCTTTTCCTAAAAGGCGGCAATACCAAGTGAGCGACTCCTTGTGGTTACAATGCAGAATTGCAGCCATTTGGCACTGAACCTGGAAGATTGCTGCTGTCACTGTAGTAGTGACAACTACTACAGTGATTCTCTGCTTCCACAGGGTTGTCTTAGGTATGAGATATGCATACTTATATTGCCCAAACTGGACCAATCTAACCATGCCAGAAAAATCAGACCTAAACCTTAGCTCTAATGAAAATAATATACTTTGTAAGGATTATAGAAAACTGTTTTGCTCATTCATGCGTCAAACTGATTTTTTTTTTATAAACCAGCTGTGTAATGAGAAAAGATGCAGCCTCTACAACCTCATAGAAGAAGATGAACCTTTAAGGGCTTGTTCACACTAGTAGTTTAGAGGAGGTAAAACCCTGCAGCTAATCCACGTTTTTACCACTCCCCTTTTAGCTGCATAGGCGGGGGAAGTCCGAAAGTGAAGTGAAATCCAAAGGTGGATTGCTCTTCAGAGACAAGAGCTAGATGAAACTCCTATTGCAGGGGGTGATTGAAATTTGTCTTCAGAGAAAAGCAGCAAGCCAATCACACCAGCAGGAAATGAAGTCTCTGGGGAGCAATAGGAAAATCAGTGATGTACAGAATACCTCAAGGGTTCCTTATTGTAAGAAGCAACATCTGAATTTTTATTCATGATCATGCAGGCGGCAGAGGGGCAACTGGCATTAGATCCGAGTTCATGCTGCCCAATGACAAGAGGACAGACAGGTTACGGCACTTTTTTAATAGCATGACCAGGGGGGCGGACTGACAACTCATGGAGGCCCCGGGCAATAGGGGATCATGGGGCCCCTGTATCCTTGCCCAAACTCAAAAAAGCCTATGAAAAAGGTACCAGGGGCATCTCATGGGGCCCCCTACTGACCCCAGGCCCTCAGGCAGTTTCCAAATGGTCAGTCCGCCCCTGAGCATGACACTTTTTGCAGGTGACACCGGTGCCAAACATGCCCCATTCAAGTGAATAGGACCATGCTGCAACCAGTCTAATGCACATGGTTGCAGTGGAGCAGGATTCCCCCCCCCCCAAAAAAAAAGACATCCAATAGGTGGCATATCACCTCTGAGTTACCTGTCGACCAACTCTGAAAAGCTAGTTACCATGGATCGCTTTTCAGAGCTGTCAGGAAAGCTGCCTGTGTGATCAAGGCCTTAGAAAATTACAATGTATGCAGACAGGATGGAACGTTTGTTTTTTTCATTAAAATTGATTTACAAATAGCATGCTTATCAATTGTATATACTTTATGCTTTTATTATTTTTTACAACAAGAGTGGCGTTTTCCTTTATCGGTATATCAACGCACATGTGATGTCATTTTTATCTAGTGCCACTATTAAGATTTGATTTCTCTTGTTTTTAGGCTTTCCTTCATTATCGCTGACAGCCCCTGGTAATGAGGGATGTGGAGGGGTGGAGCATCCCTACTGTTCCTCTCTCTGCTACTGCCACTGCTGCCCTCTACTGGCAGGGCACAGATTGTGCTGACCGATGATGAGATTGAAGACTTTCTGGAGGGATTTCTGAAGGAACTGGTCCCCGAGGAAGAAGAAGAGGACAAGGGGGAGCCTAAGAGGGAGGAAGATGAGGAGGAAGCGCTGATTACTAGAACGGGGAGGAACGAGGAAGAGACCAATGTAGGAAAAAAGCAAAAGCAACAAAAAAAAAGCGAGGATGGAGGTGAGTTACATGTGGATATCAGATATTACTCCTGTGTATATCAGGTTAGCTGAGTGTGGCATTCCCCTTTTTCAGAACCTAGGAGTCCCCAATTTTGAACCAGGGGCAGACTGACCATTTGGAAACTCGGGCACTGCCCGAGGGCCCAGGGTCAGTAGGGGGCCCCATGAGATGCCCCTGTACTTTTTTCATAGGCTTTTTTGAGTTTGGGTCCCCTATTGCCCAGGGGCCCCATGAGTCCACCCCTGTTTTGAACTCAGAAAATTTCAACACTGCTTCCCTTGTGTAATCAGCAAAACATAGTCTGCTACATCCTTGGTTTTCAGTTAAAACTCAAGCCAAAAATGTATCTAAACCCTAACATTTTGGATATTTATTTATTTCAGGTACTGATATAGCGCTGTCAACTTACACAGCACTTCACATATATATATATATATATATATATATATATATATATATATATATATATTGTACATTCACATCAGTCCCCAACTCTCAAGGGGTGTACAATGTAAGGTCCCTAACTTACATTCATACATACACATACTAGGGCCAATTTAGACAGGAGCCAATTAACATACCAGCATGTCTTTGGAGTGTGGGAGGAAACTGGAGCAAAACCACACAGGCACAGGGAGAACATGCAAACCCCAGGCAGGTGGTGCCGTGGTTGGGATCTGAACCAAGGACCCTAGTACTGCCAGGCGGAAGTGCTAACCATTTAGTCACTGTGGATATAGGGAGGGTTATAACCCCTGTCATTTTTTTTGCTTTCCGTGTCCCATGGGGGAGATTTCCCTAATGGGGGCACAGACAGCAATAAAAACCTCACAGGTGTTCCAATCCCTCTCCACTTTATCCACAACTAAAAAAAAGTTTTGCTTCCAGTTATACTTTTATTTATTACAGGTACTTATATAGCGCCATCAATTTATGCAGCGCTTTACATATATATTGTACACTCATATCAGTCCCTAACCCTCAAGGAGCATACAATCTAAAGTCCCTAACTTACATCCATACATATACATACTAGGGCCAATTTGGACAGGAGCCAATTCCCCTACCAGCATGTCTTTAGAGTGTGGGGGAGGAAACTGGAGTACCCAGAGGAAACCCACGCAAGCAAACTCCAGGCAGGTGGTGCTGTGGTTAGGATTTGAACCAATGACCCTAGTACTGCCAGATGGAAGTGCTAACCAGTTAGCCACTGTGCTGCCCATTACCCTTTTATTCCATTGCCACGTCAGTTTTCTCATGAAAGTGATCCAGTGGCTGTACAGCCACTCCGCTTTTTTTGACCCCTGGAACGTGTACCCTCAGGACAAGACCCCTGCCTCCACCCCCCGCCAGGCCTTGGACCCATAGGGCAAGTGTCGCTGGGTGAAGGAAAGGAGAGGGAGAAAAATGAACATATGTTCACTGAGCTCCTCTAGCTAGAATGAACCCAGAAGTGACGTGTAAAACTTCACAGTTTCCCTGTCCATTGTGTCCAGAAAAGAAGCTCCATTAGCTTCAGTTGAAGGCAGCTGAAACTTTTTCCCCATGTAATATGAATAACGTATTAGTGAAAGTTAAATAATAGTCAAAAAATAAAGTTGCACCCAAGCACTTAAAACCCCCACAAAAAAATTTGATCCCCTCCCCACACACACACACCAGTATAAGCGCACCTATCAGGGGCTCCTATGTATCAATACACTGCTTGAAGTAAACATATTACATATCGCTGCTTGTGCCGGAGTGAAACAGTAATTCTAGGGACAATATTTGTCGATTATTCTAAACTGATGACCCTGTAGAGGCTTTTAAAATGTCTCCTATGGAAAATATAGGGTACCACAGTTTGTTGGTTTTTTTGCAGGTACGCACAAATGTAAAGCTTGACATGCTGGGTATCTACTTACTCGGCGCAATCTCATTTTTTTTATATTTGTTTAAATATATATTGTTTTTGTCCCCTAAAATTAGCTTAAATCTATATATTTTAAATTTCGTGTGACATAAAAAGTGGAACTGCCAACATTTTATTTTCCAGGGTCTCTGCTTTCAGAAAATATATAATGCTTGAGGGTTTTAACTAATCATCAGGCCTAAAATGATTTGTGGGTACAAAAATGCAGTGAAAGTGTTAAATGCTGTGGTTGCATTTGTTTTCTTTTTTAGGCATCATTTTCACCTAGTGATCACATCAGTAAGTTTGTCATTTTTCAGCTTTCTTTAATTGACCAAACTGTCGCAAAACAGACAAAGGGTTGAAACAAACCATTTAACAGTGATAGGAGTGCTTACAATGATCAGCTTTTATTTATTTATAGAAAACCTTCATTCAAAAAGGAAAAAAAAAAAAAATAGTGGGAGGTTTAATTTGCTTGTAAAGGCCTTATAAATATATTAGTCATTTATCAAAATATCTGAAATAAGAACTGTCTTTTTTCCACACAGCTATCATTCTGCATTCAGTATTTTCCACTGCACTTTCCCTCCGCCCTATAGCAGAAGCATTGCTACAGGGCAGCAGGGCTACACAAGATAACATATACAGTGAGGAACAGAAGCATTTGAACACCCTTTCAGATCCCTCCATGATTTCTAAGTGGGAGAACTTTCAAAATCACAGGGTGTTCAAATACTTCTGTTCCTCACTGTATATATACACGCATGATTTGCATATCTGGGTAGGGGGCGCACTTGTATGTGCGCACCGCCCTGCCCACATTGCTATTGGCGGCTAGGGATGTCAATGACCCCCTGAGTCGGGTGATTCCCGACCGTTACTCAGCGATCGTTGGGTAAAGCTGACAGGAGAGAGACCTGTGTGTAAACAACACATGTCACTCCTTGAGGCAGGCGCAGCACCCTTTGGTGCCTAGTGCGCTGTGGCATTAGAAAAATTATGCAATTGCTGTTTTTTTGTTTGATTAGACTGACTTTACTCTGTAATTCCTCCAATGCCGCTCTATGGATGCAGTAGGTTTAAAGAGCACACCGAATGCTTTAGTTAACTTCTTTAATAACTTCAATCTTCTTCATATAACACTGCTTACAATGGCTTGTTTTGTTTCATATTACATTGGGTTGATTCGATAGATTGATAAATTCGTTAGATTATGATTATTACAGTGACTTGATTTGTTTAATTCGTAAATTCGATAAGTTCGGTGGAACTACAAGTAAAACACACACACAACAGTTTTTACATACAGATCTACCTGCACTGTAAACAACAGAGGAACACACAAGTGCATTAAATACCTATTTGGCCTTCTCTGTTTCCATAAAGCTTCTCTGATTGGAACTCTGTCTGTTTCCTCCTCTGTCTGGTGAGCATGTGTCTCTAGAAAATCCTAGCAGGGAGTTTTACACAGGCATAAATGTGAAACTGGCTGGGATTGGTTAAGGCTCTGTACAGTGTGAGGCTGTCTGTGATTGGCTCACCTTATACTAAGTCTTAAAGGCATATTTTCCTTTTCTGCTAACACAATGAATATATAAATGTCATATAACAATCAAAGACATAAATTACAGCAATGATTCTGCTTTTGGCTTTAACATGTGCCCATATACACTGTACTGAGGTTATTGGCAGGTTTTGGTATACACATATATGTGAACCATATTAACAACCTAGGACTGGTCTTAGCTGGCCAGCTACACTCCTGTCAGCATGGACATGCTGTTTTGTATCTCTCTGCAAAGCAGAGAGATACAAAACACATGTCTCCCTAGTAAAACACAACACAGAGCACACAGTAAAACACACACAGCACACAGTTAACCCTTTGATCGCCCCAGATGTTAACCCCTTCCTGTCCAGTGTCATTAGTACAGTGTCAGTGCTTTTTATTAGTACTGATCACTGTATTAGTGTCACTGGGGACGTTCAGTGGCAGTTAGTCAGTTCCCCCCCGTGTCAGAATGTTCGCCGCAGTCCCACTATAAGTTGCTGATCGCCACCATTACTAGCATAAAAATAAATAAATAATAATTCCAGTATATATACCGCCATTTGCAGACGCTATAAGTTTCACGTGAACCAATTCATTTACACGTATTGGGATTTTTGTTTTAGCAAGGACATGTAGCAGAATACATTTAGGCCTACTGGTAAATTTATGAAGATATGTAATGTTTATTTTTTTTTATTGGATATGTTTTATAGCAAAAAGGAAAAAATATTGTTTTTTTTACAAAATTGTCAGTCTTTTTTTGTTTATAGCGCAAAAAAACAAAAAACTCAGAGGCGATCAAATATCACTGAAAGAAAGCTCTATTTGTGGGGGGAAAAAATGACATAAATTTCATTTATGCACAGCATTGCATTGTCAGTTAAAGTAACGCAGCGCTGTATCGCAAAAAATGGTCTAGTCAGGAAGGGGGGTAAATCCTTTGACTGGAGGCAATACACTCATTATTTCTGCTACTTTTAAAAACGAGACTCACAGTGAAGGAATACTACTGTATATTCTTCAGCAGCCAATCACAGTTTGGATTTGAATCCAAGATTAATAACAACTGAATTATGGTTTGAGGCCAGTACACATCAATGATGTGGAAAGAAATATCTCACTGGAGTTTACGCATCAAAAGTGTCAGAACAGAAAGCGTCTGTGTTTCCTGTTACAATTAATAAGGATTTTCCTTTTGTTTCCTTATGGGAGACTCATCTGATATATGTAGACGTATGTGTCTGCTCTGCCATGTGATCCTATACACATTCCTGGACAGTTACGCCTATGGTTCCTGGTGACCTGACTCATTCATTTCATGCCAGATAAATCATGACATGGAATGTTCTATGATACATGGGTGTTTCTATCCCTAGCTTAGTCTCTTCCACTCATTCGACCTAATAAGTATCTGGAGAAAAAAACTATTTCAAAGCAAAAGAATCCATCAAGATTTTCAGTTGCTGGAGTTTGCATGTTCTCCCTGTGCCTGTGTGGGTTTCCTCTAGGTACTCCAGTTTCCTTCCACACTC